ATTTTAAATCGCCTGTCCGCCCTTTGAATGCGGATAAAGAACGCACTACGACTTGGCGAATTTCGAGACTGGCCAAAAGCAATCACAGCCCGCTCCCAACATCCCGCTTGCAGTGCCCTCCACCAGCACACTACACAATGTATCTGTACATTATCTCACTTGCATTATATACTATTTCGCTTGCAATGTGCCCTTTTCGATCAAAGCGTGTGCCCTATGCCACCTTTGGGACGCAGTGAAAAATCCTTAAAATATGCCCTGATATGAACCCAACTATGCTAATTGCTAGGGTCACGTGATACATGTTTTATGGTCAATTTTACATTTAAAATTCAATGGTGTGGGCTAGACGGCCATTGGGGCCGGTTAAGATTGCGTTCTGGTGGAGGTCAGGTCAAGGTCAGGTCAAAAAAGGCTAAATTTCGGAGTTTATATTTTGCATAAAAGGGGTATCTATTCGATGCAGCTCATCACGGGAAATCCAATGGTGGTCTTTGGCTTGCTCTGTGTGTTCTGTGACGGCTAAAAATTGAGTTTGAAAATTTTACGTAATACATTTTGAGTAGTGTTTTTTGCCATAACTTTGCTAAAAATGGAGCTATCGAGTTTAAGTTTGGCATATCTAGAGCAGATAGTTCTATAACATACATATATTCCAGCTTTAATTTTGAATGTTGTTGGTATTTTCGGGGTGTTATACTTCTATAGTTTTGATGGTCGAACTAAATTTTTGTTTAGAAATCAGAGTTATCAGTTTTGTGGTGCTGTTTATTTTACATCTTTTTTATCTTGAATATTTTTTTGTTATCTTCAAAACTGTAAGCGTGACAGCTCTTCCCGCTAAACCTTTTATTGGGTCGAAAATGACAGAACATGACGTCACTCTGACGTCATTTGTGACTAACCTTTTATAAGAGCTCTGGAAAAATTTGGTCACAAGGTGTAAAAATGATGCCCGGAGGGGTCTTGAAAGTTTGGTGACGACCTACGCTATACTTTAGGAGATATCGACTGAAAAGGAGAGGGGGCTGTTTCGCGCCCCCCTCCCCCCCCCAACGGGGCTCGAGGCTTTCAGTTGTTGCTCTCACATAACTCTTGGTTATATTACAACGTAGTGGAATTGCAAGTGGCAATATAAGCTTCCTGCCAGCGCCGGACCCGAGTTTAAACATGCAGGCTGAATTTTAACATTTGACTTTAAAAAAAATTACCGTTGAGCTTTTTAGAAGTTGTATGAACTGTTCAGCTCCTTTTTTGGTCCATCACAGCGGGCTTGTGTGTCATTTGTCAATCAAAATCGAATTAAAAACTTTTTATTGGGTCTGGTTATCTCGCCAAATTCTTAACTGAATCGTTTAGTAGCTTTTGATTGGGCACTGCCCACGTTGTCTGTCAAACTTTTTGTGTCAACGAGAAGAGGCTGCTGACATCGTTTGTCGCGGTTAGATAATACCAATCCACGTCCCAGTGTGGCTGCTCGATCGCACTTTCCCTGGCCCACCTCTCCCACCAGGCTAGGTTTTGCCCGGCACAGCCCGCACAGCCGTCGCCTCAGTGCCTCGGGCGGTGACCCGTTCAAAGGGGCTCACAATTCGTATGGTGCCGTGGCTCTCAAACCAACACAGAACGGTGAAACGCACAGGCTAACCTTCCATATAAGGCGAACGGCTGATTCTGGCGCCGGGGCTTCATTCATGCTAAGGCGCCCAATCACAGCGCCGCATTTCAGTTAGTGTCGGGCGCAAAAGCTGCTATGCTCCGCCCCTCCATCACGTGACCCTGCCCTCACGTGGCCTCAGTCACGTGGTGTTTCCACTTCTTGGCGCATGGCGGCGCTAGTCTCGCAAGGGCGGTGGTAGCTTGCTCCCCCGCCGTCCGGGGGTGATGGGTAGCAAGTGCTGGTGACTGTACAACAAACTGACTATTTCTTGTCTTACGTCTTGTACAATGCACTGCCTTACTAGATGAGACAACTAGTGACTCGATGCAACTGACACTTATGTGACGGCTGGACTCCATTTCTACCAGAAGTGTGCTGCGCTTTATTTCATAACTTCCGAAGCGTCCGAAACAAAGAACGGACACTGAAGTTGACAAAAACTGAACTGGAGAGCGCTTCACAAAAGAAGCGAGTTATAAGTTCCGCTCGTGACTGAGAGGGAAAACTTGAACACTCTGGCTGCGTTCGGATATTTGGCCAAATCTGGCGTCCGCCGCTCCGGCTAAGGCGGCCGTCCGTCTTCATCAATCGGTGCCGGCCGCCGTCCCATTTCCATCCAAACTGGCGGTTTGTCGCCACTGTTTGCCTAATTTGCCAGTCGGCCGCGTCGGAGTTGTCGCTTCTGCGCCATCCGGCAACAGAGCGCCGCTGCCGCCTCCGGCAATAATGAAATCGCCACGTGCCCAGAATTTGACGGCAGCTCTTGGCCGCCATCGGCGCCGCGCCGAGCTCGCCTCTGGTGCGCCACTTTGGCCGCGCTGGCGATGAGTGGCGCTGTCACTATAAAAGCCAATAAGTGTGTTGACGGTCGAACCAAAACAACGGGAATGCCCGCGGGACCAGGGCATCGTCAGCGGCACAGAGAAACGCGGCGGCGGCCACCGATCGCCGAGCGGCTCCGTTTTTACCGCTGCCAGCGCGGCACGAGGTTTTATTGTATCCAATCGCGAAATTGTAGATGCGGTGAGGCTCTAGAATAAAAATGCTGCACCGAGCAGCACTAAAACATGCTTCTCATCGCCAGCGATCCGCTGCCTAAACAATAAACATAGAGGGTATAATAACGCCCTGAAATTATGCTGAGCCGCAATGCTTTCGCACAAGCTTATAGTCCCGCCGATAGGTGGTACTACACCTTTTTGCATTGCGAGTCGGCATAGATTCAATTGACCGTAACCATAGGCGGCCCAGTTCGGTAAATGAGCATTGTGTTAGACTTACTTTGGACTGTTCGACAGTTTTCATTTCGTTAGTTTATCGGCTGTTCATTTTCGAACGATGTCACAGTATATCGACAAGGGCATTTGATATCGACGCTGACAATAGATTTAGTCTTAGGTCACTTAATTTAGTCGCTTTGCGATTGAATTAGGCAATACAAAATGGATTTCGTTAACGTATAATTTGATTTTTATATTTGTATTTTTCATCAGACGATGAAAATATTAGGCATGTGTTTTTGTGTTGATAAACTCATGAAGTAGCAAACTGACCACGTGGCGTCATAGATACATCCTTTACACTTGAGCTTCTACTGGTTCCCGGTAGGCTAGGTGACCTCAAGCCAGGTCAGTGTGCTTGTGTCATTTGTTATCAAGATGCCGAGCCGCCGCCATACAGTTTGTGCCGCGGACTGCGAGAGAATACCTAATCCAAGCGGTGGCAACGATAACGTTGCTGTGGCCCGCCAGTTGAGCGTAAAGAGGACGACCGGCTGGTCCATCGTGGCAAAGTGGACGCGTACCGGGGAGTTTGCTGCACGGAGGAGAGGGGGCAACCGACCGCGGAAGCTGGATGACATGATCGACTTCTTCCTGATGCTGATTGACGACGACCCGAACAACCGGCGCCTGTCTGGCCAGAGAGGGATCTGGGCCGAGTGACCGCACCGGCGCGGCGACAACTGGCGGCTGTGGAGCGTTCAGTTGTGTGCATTGATTTTGCTGCTTGTGTTCATTGTTATTGCAGTGTTACGTAATGTTTTTTTTATGTGGCATGGCCATTGGCCATACACAAATGAAATGTTCTTTATCATGTTGCATTTTTTTTTTACCAGAGGCATTTCAAGCCGATGAGCCATTACTGTGGATTGAAATGATTCGTTAGCTGCATATATTTATTTGTTTAATAAAATGTGCTTGTATTAAAACCAAATTGTGTTGTATCGTGCAGTGGGACTAAAAAGTAATTCTATGGTGTTTTACGCACGTGTTACCAATTCGTTATCTGCGAATATTTGTAGAGACAGGCCGCAAGTTCAATCAAATCAAATACAGTTATGGGTATGTCGATTATGAATGCTCAGCTCATACATATTGATTATGTATACGATGAAGTTGGATAAAATCGTAAACGAAATTAAAATACCTTTGTCAAAATTGATTCACGCCCGTCTATATCAGATGGACGTTGTCATATTCAGCGCACTATGTCTAAATCCACTGAACAGTGTCGAAGTTGCGCACACTGCCTATTTTCAATGCCCCTTATCGTGAAGGCGCGTTGTGTCGATGAGAGGCGCACAATGTCGAAAGAGCACGCCTGTTGGCGGCTTAAATGAAATAAGTCTATATGACCTGCACAGATGCCGACTCGCAATGAAAAAAGGTGTAGTTGTGGCGCCTGAAGTTATGCTGTACCGCAATGCTTTAGCGAGAGCTTATAGCCCCGCCGATAGGTGGCACTAGTTGTAACGCCTGAAGTTATGCTGCACCGCATTGCTTGCTATTGCGCTTCGCCAGCTTGTACGATTGCGAGGGCTTTATCTATGGTTGAGCATTTCAAGATAGATGTAATGCAATGCACAGTAAGTTAACCAGCAGGTTTAGCAGTTACATACTTGCACTGCTAACCTGCATACTCCTACATACATACTCCTAACCTGCTGACCGCCCCGTCATTCGAATATAGTTCGCATACATAGTACTCGTTCCGGTATTGCCCGTTCCATTCATATAATTTTTTTTACGCCGCATTTGTAGCTCACTCTCACTGTATGTCTCCCTGCCCCCATATTTTCTTTCACCCGTGTATCTCTCTGTACCTCCCTCCCCTCCGTGTTTTCATATCCCTCTCTCTCTCTCTCTCTCTCTCTCTCTCTCTCTCTCTCTCTCTCTCTCTCTCTCTCTCTCTCTCTCTCTCTCTCTCTCTCTCCCCCTCCCTCCCCCTCCCCCTCCCCCTCCCCCTCCCCCTCCCTCTCCCTCTCTCTCTTCTTGCTCATCCCTCTAACCCCACTTCCCCCTTTCATCCCATTTCCCTCCCACCGCGTGCCCCCTCTCACCTGCCGTACCGGTGGGAACGACGCGTCCGTCATGTCGTCCGGATAGCGGTACGATGAGAGCTCATCATCCCAGCGCTCGGACGCAGTCTGACCCGAGAGGGACGAGGTGCTGCGCAGCTCCATCTTCAGATCCGTGTCGGCAGAGCTCTGGTCCGACGGCCGGCCGGAGGTCTTCTCACTACCGTCCGCTGGGTCACACAGAGGTCACCGGTTAGAGAGTGTGGCTGTATCAGATCACAGAGGTCATGAGTTAAGACATGGTAAGGTCACAGTCTAGACATAGTAAGGTCACGGTACCGTCCGCTGGGTCACACAGAGGTCACGGGTTAGAGAGTGTGGCTGTATCAGGTCACAGAGGTCAACAGTTAGACGTAGTAGGGCATGGTACCGTCCGCTGGGTCACACAGAGGTCACGGGTTAGAGAGTGTGACTGTCTCAGGTCACATAGGTCAAGGGTTAGACAAAGTAAGGTCACAACACCGTCCGCTGGAGTTACCAGAACTCATGAGTTAGACATGAATAGGTCTCCGTTTCGCCCGCTGAAGTGATGGGTTCCCCGACAGTAGAGCTAACTGGCACAGCCAAATACCGCGTCTCTCTCAATATTGCCAGGTTCGGTGAAAATATTAAATAGGAAACTAACAGAAACTTGACCTACCCTAATTTGATTTTGAATAGCCCTGCACATTGCTTTCAGCAATACTGCCACCTACATTCCCCATTTCTCTCACTTAGTTGATAAATGCCGCTCATCTCAACCAAGTTATCGCCTTCCGTTTCGCGGAAGGAGCCCATGGCATGAATAGTTAAAACACGCCACACGGTGTTGCCCTTTACTCCTCACGATTCCCAGCTGGCCCGCGTCAAGCTGACCGCGTCAGACTAGCCGCGCGCGCGTCACGTCTGCCTCGGGACCTGACTTGCTGCGCCACACTGGCCTCGTGAGCCGCACCCCCGCGCCAAATTTGTCCCGTCGTAATTCAGAGCGGTCTGCTGCAGTATGCATGCTGGACGAGCCAAGACACGAGTTGCGGTACAACTTGTGACAGGCCGATTCTGGGGCTGGCCAGCTAGGTGTCAGGGCAGACGTCACGCCAGAGAGGTCACGAACCGCGAACGTGAACGTGCTACGTAAATGGGTGGGTATGGGCAGGGCGTTGTGCTGTCTATTGTCATTTCGCTCACAGCTGAATATTATTCTTGTTCAGATAGGTCGTTGGGTGTTGTGTGATAGAAGATAATAGCAAGTTATGTCATGAATGGTTCAGATGACGTCAGAGTTACTAGTCAGCCAGAATTATTAACGCAAGAAAGGGGTTCTTTAGAAAAAGAAACGTGTCTGAACTTAAGTAGCCCACCGGTTCGCGCCGGCTGACCTGACCTGACATAGTAACCTGGCCTAGGTATCAGGCCTGGATGACCTCATTTGGCACCTAAGCCCGGCTGACTCAACCTCACCTGACGTGACTTCACTTGACCTAACCTCACCCGACGTGAGCTCACCTGACCTGACCTCACCTGCCGTAAGCTCACCTGGCGCCCTGCCGCCGGGCTGACCTGACCTGACGCTCTGACCTGACCTGACCGCACCTCACCTGCCGTAAGCTCACCTGGCGCCCTGCCGCCGGGCTGGCGGTGACGGCGGCACATGACCAGCAGCAGGATGGCCGAGATGATGACAATGATGCCGCCCACCACTCCGGACAGCACGATCAGCAGCGGGACGCTCTCTGCCGAGGGAAGGGGATGGCGACGTTAGGCAGGGCACCAGGAAACAAACAGGAGGCATGAGTCTGTTCATGGCACACGAGTAAATAAGTGCTTCACATGACTACATAATTTAGCACTTTCACAGCCCACAATACCCACATGATAATCCTGTAGCATAGTTATGTTATTTCAAGGATTGCCTGTTACGTTGACAATCCACTTCAATTTTGTGTAAGCTGCTTAATAAATATATCATAACTATCTCGTAAGTGCATTCCACTGCACTTTGGCAGCCGCAACACAGAAAAACTTCATGTCCGTATTTCACCGAACTCTTTGCCCGTATATATCACTCAGACAATTTTCCTTTTTCACAGACATCAACAGCCATCAATCGCAAAACCTCTCCTTCATGTCCTCAGCAGCCCAGCCGTTTTCCGAGAGTCCAGCCTTTGCCGTAACGTCTCTGTCGACACCAATTAAACGACCACAAATGTCTCCTTCGTCGGTCATGTCGGCGAAAATTAAAACCCAGCCCGGTCTGCGACACACCCGGCTTTCTCTGTATGTGATAACAAATGTCGGTAATCTGGATCGGGCCCTAATACGACTCAGTGTCGGACCGCAACTGCGTCGTAACGCCGGCCGACAACTCCCATCGCATACTGAGGGGCTTTCCGGCGCAATAAAGCCGGCAGAGGTACTGGGCCGCCGCCAGACACCCGCCATCCACAGAGCTTTCAATGAGCGGAATGCGAAAACGCGTCGCGGCTGTGTCCCTTTCTCTGTTCCTGTATTGGTTTCGCAGCGGCGGCGGCGGCGGTGATGGCGGTAGTGGCACTCCCATGGGACAATCAAGTGAGATCAAATGGAAGTAAAGTGTGCGGTCGGACGCGTGCTGCCCCGATGCCTGTTCGCCGCTGGAATGACTGAGCGGTAATTTGTCGCAACGACTCGCAGCCACCTCACTAGAAGGGAGTCCTGTCGCACGGCGGAGAGCCACCATTGGTCATAAATCCACCGCGGCGAGCGGCAGTGCGATCATTTCTCCAGACGTGTGACCTGAATGATGGCCGGATGGTGGGAAGGTTCGGGATGGTTAGCGAACGCGCCGCATCGGTGCGGACACGGCCCCACACGCGGACGGACGGTGGCCACATTTGCTAATGAACAGGGCGCTGTGTGCGGTGCACTGTCGGCTGCTAATTGCGATTGGTTTCCACCGTGCCGGTTCGGTCGGGATTGAGGAAGATTTATCCCTCTCAGTGTGCGCAACAGAAAAGGCACAATGCAGTTTCTGTCCTCTGATCAAGAAAAAGCAAATACGCTGTGATCGGTGCACCCTTCTATCCTCAACTTCTAAATGAACATGAATGCACCTTTTTGGCAACCGAATTACAGATGTAAAAATAATTAGCATATTCCTAAATAAACCATCAAACCAGAACCATTGGATCATATCACTTCTTCAGCATCACAGAGGAACACCAGTCTCCGTCATCAAGACCGAGCTCCGATTTAGATAATTGATTCCAGTATAAGAAACAGTCCTCTCCAACACCCCCGCCCAGCCACCCAGTATCCCATCTCACACACAGACCTTGTTTCTGCAGCAGCACGGTGGCAGAGTCTGCTCCGTACTCGTTGTGGAACGTGCAGTTGTAGAGGCCAAAGTCAGACTCGCTGGCTCCGGAGACGACCAGGAGACTGCGCACGCCACCCTCTATCGGCTCGTCCACCGTCTTGTAGCGGCCCAAGTCTGTGAAAGAGACAGGATGGGGTAGATGAGAGCAAGTTTATTTTGTAGGCTTGCTTTTTTGCGAGTGAAATAAGGGGGAATAATCAAATATTCACACAGTTCGTGCACAGACGAGACATCTTGTGCGTGCAGTGCTTGCTGCGGTGGACTGATAACTGAAATCACTGAAAATTATCTGGCCTTTACTACATTGTTACACGTACTTTGGCGAACCATTCTAAATGAAAAACAGTTATGCTTGACACAAGCTTTCACAGTTCATGACTGAAGCGAAGGGCTAGCTGAAATAAGCGTACTCGTCACAAGTACACAAAAGCTTAGATGTAGCAACTTGTGGGTAGATTGTAATATAGTCAATGAGCGTAGCTAATAACGGCAAATGTCAAAAAAGCAAGAAGTTCAGTGTGACCATCTAGAGCTCGGATTTCATCTCGTCACAGCCACCCTTTTACTAAAGCGGCCTTCATATGAATCTCTGGGCGACAGCACACGCCTCAGCGCTGCATTAGGTCCGGTTCATACCGGGCACGGAATGAGCCGTCCGCCGTTGGGTCCGTCTGTAGCGGCGGGCTCCGCCGACACGTCACTACCGACCGTTCATCACCGACTCAACATCAAATGCACCATGTGCTCACTCAGGCCAGATTCCCAGTAAAACGGACCGGGCCGCCGACTGTCCGGCCTTTCAAAGAGGGCGCAATGTCAGAGCCGGCCAGCTGGGCTGGCAGCCACTCGGTTATTAAGCCTACAATATGTAGCGGCCTGTCGCTAAGCTGGGATCAATTACAGCCGACGGCGCAGATTGTGAATTGTTTACAACGCTAGTCGCTACAGGCCAAATTAAGGAAAATGCTCGCTAACATTGCCATTTTTCGAAATGGCTAATTTCCATAACGTAGCTTAAATGTCCATGACGTTCCGTCATGGACATTACAATAAAGGAGCGTTGACATGTAATACAAATAAAAATATGTCCAGATGTCTTTTAAAAATCAAGTTGACAACTTGTATGTTTACACCATCTGTGCTCGTGGCATGTACGCAAATCAATAATTTTGCTACTTAAATAAATAAATGGTCAACGAAGGCGTCAAGTCAGGTCAAACATCACTCCATCTCAAAGTTCTCATGACTTTCAACCGCGCCCTTTCAGCGTGTCACGGCTCACAGACTATGACCTATGGCCCTTATCCCCTTACTGCAATCCGTGACACTTATTCCCTCCCGGCGATCCCTGATCCCGGTGCCATTTCTGATCCGGCTCCTGCCTACGCCACCGGCCGGCCACCCTTCACTCTCCTGCCCGCCGCGGTCGGCCACCCGTCCGTTCCGTCGAGCCAACCAATCCACTAATGGTGCCCACGCGGCCGCCCGCCGACGCGTATGGAATCAGCCCTGTTCGAAACCAGTTCGCTTTGTTCAGATCACACACGCCTCTCTCCTGCCCGGTCATCTGACGTCTTTATGAACACTGCTCCTCTCGTTCCATACCGCTCTCTTTCACTTCTCCCCCCTGCCCAGCTAACCCCTCTCGATCTCGCCGGCGTGGCTGGCCGAATTTCAACGCTAAGCTCGCAGCGCGCCGCCCGCTGCCTGCATTGTGTGCTGTGCTCCAATCACCGACATTCCCGCCGGCAAATCCCCGCCGCAAGATTGATCATGCTTCGCGCCCATGCAGTGTGAGACCGGGCAGGCCACCAAGCTGAGACGCGACCGGGGCAGGGAATGAGGACTGAAACGCGGACCCACGGTAGAAGAGGGTTGCAGGTTTTTACAGATGGGGGCTCCATGTTTGTACCAGAAAAAAGGAGATCGATAGCGTTAGCATAGCGCATATCTGTACAAAATTATGCACCAGTTGGAATGGCGCAATGTGCTAAGATGAAATTAATAATAACAAAAGAAAACTCGGGCCTTAGCCATCGTAAGTTCTCATGCATGTAGGTCTGATTGATACCAATACCGTCAAAGCTCTGAAGTTCAGTCAGGCTTAGCGAAAATGTAGGGATGTAGGTTTCGTGAAACATATCCCATCCCAAATCCCTGCACCGGTCGGTGTTCGGTGCTAAAAGATACGGGTTTCGTTTCACATCTGAAAATGAATAGGTTCTGCCGTTTCATATTCGCAAGTGAATACGCTTTAGGCTGGTTACTCTCAGCTCAGTTTCAAGTGAACCGCTACACGATACACGCCTGCAGCGCTCGCCTTTTTAGGTTAAACCGTGAACTCGCGTTTTACAATCGCCCTATGAACTGCACACGTATGCTCACATATTGTGCACATGCACAGTACACAAACAAATTCCTACGTGAGTCGCGACATCTCACCTGTGCGGATGGGCCGTCCATAGAGGTACCAGACGGTGGCAGAGGGCGCCGGGACGCTGGTGACCACACACTCGACCGTCACCGTGCCTCCGGCGACGCCGCGCTGCGGTGACCGGGCGCTGACCTCGGGTCGACCCCGAGCAAACACCATCAGCTGGCGAGAGATCTCGGGGAAGCCGGTGGTGGCCGCGCGGCACTCATATCGCCCAACCGAGTTCAGCGTGACGGTAATTTCCAGTTCGGAGCCTAGACCGACCACCTGTGGAAGAGGGCTGGGTCAGTACAGAATGTCACAACATGAAAAAGTCACAGTCCACGTGGGTTAAGCTGAGTCGTTTCTTCGTCAGGCGAGGGCATTGGTCTTGTGGTGACACAAGTGCATTGCGGTTTGATCCCCTCAGAACAAAACAATAACCGAGAGCAAAAACAAACGGCGATATAATTCTTAAAATGCTATCTGAAAAGAATATAAATCACTGCAGACAAGATTCCAACTACAGTACCTTTAAGCTTTGATTGGTAGGTAATGGTGTCCAGAAGAGAATATCCAGAACTAAAATTCGACTGTAGAAACTCTTTACTGGTACAAAGTAATCACATACACGATGCTGTAATGTACCGGTAAAGTACCGTAGTCGTCGCCTTCACACGAGAAGACCTAAATGAACCGAGCAAAAATACTCTCCCGGCAGCTCTGTAATGGTGGCCGGTATTAGAAATGAGAGAGGGAGAGGGAGAAGGAGAAGGAGAAGGAGAGGGAGAGGGAGGGAGGGAGAGAGAGAGAGAGAGAGAGAGAGAGAGAGAGAGAGAGAGAGAGGGAGGGAGGGAGGGAGGGAGGGAGAGAGAGAGAGAGAGAGAGAGAGAGAGAGAGAGAGAGAGAGAGAGAGAGAGAGAGGGGGGGACTTGTGCCGGCGGCAGTGCAATGTTTTGAAACCAAGGCAGCACAAACACTAGTGCAAGCCAAGATCAAAAGAACCGCTTTCCGTTTAGCTCCATCGCATCATTTCGGCGAACTTGTAGCTTTTCTACAAAGGATGCAAGCTGCAGGGTAGTTTCGTCAACACCGGCTTCGCTTTGATGCTGAGTGTGTACACTGTATATACACTGAGCCGTCCAGCACGTTTCATTGTCAAATGTCAGCAACTGGGAAGTTGTTTGTGTCACAAAGGAATATATCGTAAGCAAGCGACTGTTAAAAATGTCTCCAAATTTTTTGCTCTGTTTTACTTCTGCTTGTCCAATAGGTTATCATTATTGAAGCGCCACAGCTATCAATACCATACTTTCTAACGCCATGCACTCGCCATCAAATGCGGTATAACACTAACACTAACAATAACAATAGCACCAAAAACAGCGTCACAAATATCACTCTACGATCACCTCCACCACCACCACCACCACCGCCCACACCAACAACAGCAACACCGCGCCAGGGGAGTCGAGAGAGCATTCGCCGGATATCGACACTGTCTACATCGTCTGGCGGGCCGCTCGTATTTCTCCCTATTACTGAGCCGTGTCGGCAGCGAGGGCGGTAGAAGGAAAGGTCTGACCGACACCACTGACCCACCGACACATAGGCTGACCGGAAGGGCAGGCGATTGGGATTGGCCGGCACTTAGAAGGTCACACGATCACCCAGAGTGAGCGTGAGATTTATCATGCCACTTCCCGGGAAATAAATCACCAAACGTGTGAATGCAGTGATTTGCGCTGAGGATTGCAGCCTCAATGCAAGACAATGCAAGGTGCTGCTCGAGACAGACACAATACACAGTGGTGTCGGTGAAAGTGCGCAGTGTTCCAAAGCCAAAACTGGACGCAACAAAGCCAAAATTGGGAGCAGCCCCTACTGAAGCAGCACATGTAACCGGTGGTTCCGTTTGAAAAAAGACATCACATCAGCATAAAGTTTGAATACGTGCGTTATCAAATAATCGGCACCAAAGCACATTCTGTAAAGCCCAGAGAGGTCGCAAGATCTCGGTCCAATGAGTTGCAGAAATCAAGTTTGACAATGTTACCTTAAAGCCTCGCCACGGTGGCGGGCGTACATCGTAACTCTGGTAGCGACGATGATGCCTCTGACCTCCAAATCGTCGATCCTGATTGCAAGACGCATAATTAGCTTTTCTGTTTTGAATTTTGCATTAGGAAAGATACTAGCAATCACACTACAAACTTTCGTAATCGAGCTTGGTTATAAAAGCCCCAACACGGGCCCTGAGGAATATTCCAAAATAGTCGTTCTATCGGCCCATCAGACAAATCCACGCTACCAAATCTATTGTTGTTTTTGTCTGTCAATGTAATCACGCCTCTCGGTATCATTTTCGGCTTCCCCAGTACGCGCTGTTGATCTCGTTTCTTCCTTCTCTGCCTCACAAAAACGCGCCATCCCCTTGACGGCCAAGTTAACTTCCGGCTGTGTAATTGGAGGTTGTGGCGCGGGTTTTTCACCGGTGGTGCTTGGTGGGCGGTGGACGCCGGGCCGGCGGGCGATACCAACTTTAAATGGGCTCCCGTACCTAGCCCCAGCGAGGTGGTCAATGTCGAACGGTCGAAAGGCTCGCAGAAATGCCGAGCCGAGGAAAACAACAGCCGTCTCTGCGCGGCCACTCACGAACGCAACAGTCGGCCGACGCAGCTAATGGTAACGAATGAAGTTACAGAGTTCAGTTGTGGTCGTTACTGCAGACGGCTGCTCGCCGGGCAAAATTTTCAATTTGCTGTAAACGCAGCTCCAGCGGAACGAAAGCTGAAAACTTTAACCTTCCAGGCGGTGGGGGGGCAATTTTTTGCCCCCCCTTTAGTTTTTTTGATATATCTCGAGAACCGCTGCGCCGATCGTCACCAAACTTTCAGTACCCTCCCGGGAGCAGCTAGCGCACATGGTGACCAAAAATTTTTTCCAAAGGCTATGATAGGTTGGCCGCTAATGACGTCAGAGTGACGTCATTTTTGCCATTTTCGACCCAAAAACAGGTTTCGCGGGAAGAGCTGTCAGGCCTACAGCTTTAGAGATACAGAAAAATGTTTCAGACATAAAAGGTGTGGAATGAAAAGGGCTACAAAACTGCTATTTCGGTTTTTCGAATTTTCTGGATTTTGACCCCCAAAAATCAAAAAATATATTTTTTGAATATAATAGCCAAAAAATCCAAAAAGTTTTTTGAATTTCGAAAAAACCGGAATATATGTGATAGCCCCTACCGCCTTCTATCTACATACCAAATTTGAGATCGATACCTCTTTTTTTGGCGAAGTTATAGCGAAAAAAACTGTTCAAAATTGATGACGTCAAATTTTCAAACTCAATTTTTTAGCAATTCTAGACCTCGTAGCGCAAAACAAAGACCACCATTAGACTCCCCGCGACGAGCTGCATCGAATCGATACCCATTTTATGCAAAAATATCAACTTTGAAATTTGACCTTTTTTGACCTGACCTTGACCTGACCTCCACCAGAAAGTGACCTAAACCGTACCTGATGGTCTTATAACCAACACCATTGAGTTGGAAATGAAAAACTGGCCATAAAACATGCATCGCATAACCTTAGTAAAGTTGGGCTCATGTGGTGACCCTTGGTGACCTTTGGTGACCTGACCTGTGACCTGACCTGGTATGACCAGTGACCTCTAATAGCAACATAGGTACTAGACAACTGACGCCTTATTGCTGATTTTCGACAAAATGCGTTTTACTCGGTGTTATAGCGCTCTCCCTAGAAGCCCCGTGAACGGTGAAACATTTTATCTTTGACCTGACCTGTGACGTCATCGGTGACCCCGAGGTCAATGAAATTTGGTTTCCCTCGACAAATTTGGCAGGGCTATCAAACGCCGTTTGAATTTTCCGGATCCGTCCAGTAGTTTCGGAGATACGGGGGGGGGGCAAAAAAGTGCCCCCCCCCCCCCCACCGCGCGGAAGGTGGCTGGTAGGCCCACCGCCTGCCGGGTTAATAGCTATTTTGAAACACCTACAGGCGCTTCACAATGAATCACTAAAGAACACCAGTAGCCAAAATATCGTAGACAGGCGTCCATTACAGGGCAGTCATAGCATCACCTCATACTTCTCATCACCTCATATCCGTCACATCAGTTTCGGCCGTCTCTGGCAGCCGGTGGTGCTGTACCAAAATGATGGCGAATTAAGTTGGTTTGTAGCCAGCAGAGTGCTCAGCGCTAGCCAAGGCCATCCATCAAGCTTCTAGGCCAATGAGACAGCGGCAGATCCTGCTAACTACACCGAAAGACGGCTTAATGCTTAGACGGGGTTGGTGGAGGTGTGTGAAACGAATAACCGCTTCTAAGATGCATCCAATATCCATATTCCCATTAGAACTTGTCGATCAATGTCGAACACTGCACACACAGCTCCACTGTTCCGCAAGACTCAGAACCGTTTCACCATTCCCTCATAATGTCGCTAGTATTGGGTACCTGCAGCTATGCTGTTCCGCATGGCACGTTCTATGTCTCCACTCCCGCTCATAGATGTCGCTAATGTCGGGCGCCTGCAGCTATGCTGTTCCGCATGGCACGAAACTGCGCTCCCCCACTAATGGGTAACGTTACTCGTATGAATCCCGCGATATGCGCCTGCATTCATGGCGCCTCATGCACGAAGCAATGCAAGTGCACTGCTGACACAGCCCATTAATTTGCGTTGGTAGCAAGTAACATCGCAATGCTGTTCCGCATGGATACAACGACCCGCACATATAGTACGAGTAATACGTTTTTGATTGCTTTATAAACGCGGTTGCCTAACCAGTCAATGAGGAGATCTAGCCTTAGACTAAAATGGTTAGAGCAGTAGGTATGACTAAGAAATGAAATAACGTTTCGGTGAGATGAGTGACATACACGTGATGGGTGTACCCGGCTTAACCGCATTTGTCATGTTGATGGCATGGTGTAGGTAAACTACGTTCTTTTCTAGCTGGACCAGGCCTGTCGACGCATGAGTGGTTAGCAGTAATCATGCTCTCTAAGTTTTCAAACTCATTTCGCTTGATGGAGGGGCTGCCCCTATCAACTTGTCTGGCTTTGTTGTGAGCGATGTGGGGAAACACCATGATCCGTCTAGAAACAATTTTTCGGGACCACGAGCCAGATGGCGACGAAATTTACAAAAATCGCTCAAATTAAAAGTCATGTGACATATAAACAAAATAGGTAAATTACTCGTACACCATCCAAAGTAATATTGTATCATATTGATTCATATGGGAATTAAAATTAAGCTCGCCACTCTGCGATCGGTACTGATGACCTAGAAGGTCAGCATCGTATAATGATACACGACTAGCTACTTGCGTCTTAATTACATGTTCCGAGTGATACCATTCGCTCATCAATTAATTAAGGATATCTGGCTAGCGACGACCGTGCACACGTATGCTGAACCGTCTAAAATATTCGCATGAAGCGACCATGACGTCCTGGTCCACACAAATAAACCACAATGTCGCTCGTATATCACCTTAGGAAGGCACTTAATTTACAGGTAACCATTCGCTTAAATTATTCCAATCGTACATACCACCACACTGGACAGTAGAAATGAAACATTTATTTACTACCAAAATACAACTGCAAAAGAAGGTTAGTAAGATTAAGTAAAACCGTCACCAAATAAAATCACCAAAAAAGTTTCAATCCAGGAGATCAAATGCGATTCCAAGCTGACCTCACCTTTTGACACCCCTCGCAGTCGCGTTTGAACCAGACGATTTCCGGGCTGGGGTTGGCGTCGACGTCGCATTTGACCGTGACCTTTTCACCGACCTCCGCGGACGCATCTTTGGGCTCCTCCCGGAACCGCGGGCCGTCTGTGCAGCACGGGGAGGGGCCAGTCAGGGGGCTGGGAGGAGAGGCTTTTTGAGGGTATGGAGAAGATACGTGCAGAGTCACGGTGGGCGGAGCACACTTCCGCTTGTAGAAAAAGGAAGACGATGTTAAGCAGTGAATAAAACTGGCAGCAGATTTCGGGAAAATCATAAAAATAGCATAAGTGTGACCATATGTATTGGTATCGGTATCAGTGCGACTGTCAGAAGTTTAGTTAAGTGCAAAAAAAGGGTGACCGTTCGCAGCACGAATGACAAACCCGTTTGGTTGGCCAGTGATTATAAATAAGGTGTGGCTGTTACCCATTACATGTAAGATGTATTGAGCTGGGGCAAGGCTACAAGTAAATTCTTTGGCTCAGGAGTTAACGACACCCATAAAACCATCACATCCTCGCATAATTAAAACCCCAGACTCAGTTACGTGTCTGCGTCACGGCGCTGGTCGCATAGCGCGAGACCATCAGCCCGTGAGGTGAGTCCCTGCGCTACTGCCAGTAGATGACTCGGGAACCACACCGGGTGCCTCTCCACCGCCACAGCCGCCTCGCTCCAGTACAAATCTGGGACAAATCCAGAAATTACGCCGCCAAATTCCACCGGCGAGCAGGGCGCTGCCAGACTGAGGGCCTCCAGTCCCGGGGGACGGAGTCCTACTGGAGGATGGGATAGGCGGAGTGGAGACAGGGCTGGAGCTAATTACAAACAGCTGCTCGGAGTGGGTATATATGCACGGTACACGGTTTATCTTTGAAATGATCACTCTCGGAAAATTACAACAAACATTGTTTACTCAAAATGCATGAATGATACGTACAATATAATAATTATAGGAGTTTAAATGATGTTCGGAAGCAACCTACAACCGTTGGGCCCAAGTGGCCTGCTGTTACATGGAATACATGTTATGTTATGTTATGTTATGTTAAAACTTTAAGCTGAAGTCAATATGACCACTGCTACCGACTGCCAGGTCAGCCTGTCCGTCCGTTTGCTGTCAGTATAGTGTACACATGGCACCGGCGGAGCCGCTACGCCGGTCCACCAAACGGGTCTCCGGGCGGCCGGCAAGACTTTAATTTCCGGCGCACTAACAGCTCCTGGTGTTGGTTAATTTCATTAAACGCCGCCGCCTTGCAATAATTGTTGAAATATTGGTCATGGCCAGGCGGGCGTGTCGCGTTAATGTCATCCGAGCAGTCATTTCGCAGCGGCCCGACCACTCATAAGGAGCGTCGGCCAGACGTCGATGCTGGGAAGGACACATCAAACGCCAGACAACCGCCGCCTCGGGACCGGGCACTGCTGTCCGGGAAACCTGTGTGCGTTCGCGTGCCTTCAAAGGTTGGCAGCGTAAACAGGCCATTGTATGATGAAAATCGTGGAACCATTACCATAGGCATGATAAAAACAAGTACGTTGAAAATTGGGTGCAAGATGGATACCATTTTTTTAAAAAGAATTTCGATGTTTTTTTTTCGAAATGACAGCTTTGCCTGTCCAGCCTGGAGGGGGGTTGCGGCGTGGAGGAGAAGGATTTCAGTGTCCTGAGGATAGAAGCACGGAACGGTCGAAAATATAATACAAACTCTAATACAAATACAAATCTAATCTTATCTAATACAAACTCGATATTAGATATGTATCGAGTTTGTGTATTAGATATTCTGATAGTATATGTTTACGTCGCGTTTGGGGAAGATATCTGAACATATGTTGCAAATAAAGCGTTGACTTTATCTAGCAAAGCAAGTTGTCCAACTGAAGGGAAAAGTTGTCCAGAACTCATGCAACAGGGACCAACTCCAGGACAACTTGTATCTAACTCATGACATAACTTGTGTCAAACTCACAGCGAATGTCTAAGTCGACCGAGTGGCTGCCCGTGCCGATCTCATTCGTTACGTCACACTTGACGGCGGCTGAGTTGAGTTCTCGTCCGATGGAGCTCAGTTTGAGTTCCCTGCCGTGGTCACCTACCACCACCTCGTCTCGGATGAACCACTTGAAGATGAGCTGTAGACAGCGGTGGGCGGTGACGTGAACACGTGAGATGAGCCGTGGGCAGCACCGACAAACATATGACATGACGTGGGACAACAATTCAAAGGCAAACGTGCTTTTCGAGCTAAATGTTATTTCCCCATTATTTTCAGAAGTAAAGCAAAACGTCTCTGCCGTGTCAAAGCTAGAAAACATCACAAATCAAAAAGTACCTAGCAGCCAGCTTACAACCCGCACAACTCACGTCATCATCCGGATTGGCCGTGGCCGAGCACTTGAATGTGACGTCATCATACTCGTTGACCTGCGTCGAGTCTATCTCCACGGCCACCTCTGGCGGGTACTTGACGTGAAGAGTAAGCGCCACCGATTGCGGCTCGTCCAGCGCCTCGTTCTTGGCCTTACAGGTGATGTTGGCGCCGTCGTGACGCGCCTCCGGTTCCAGCAGGATCGTGGACTCGACGACGTAGCGTTTGCCGTCGGACATGTGTCTGTCTTCGCTGGTGATGTTATTCTCCAGTTGTGTGCCATCGCTGTCGAACCACTCCAGCTGCCGGAGGTTCGTAGAAGCGTCAACAGATGGCAGCACCGGTGGTGGAGAGGCGATGCGCCAGCCGGAAGCGCGGCACGATAAAACACGCCAAGACATCGCCGCCGGACGCGCTCGCATTCCGGCGCGCGCCAGACAGACATACGGACACACAAAGACAGACAGATGGCCGGACCGACGCCACTAGCGGCAACAAGTCGTGCAGCCGACGGCCGCATAATGCGAACGGCGGTGGTAGGCGGCGATCTACTGCTAGCAAACAGAGCAATTCCTGGGAACATTGCCGCAACTGCTCGCTGCTCGCTGTCTCGGCTTGAGTATAGTGAGAGGCGGTGGCTGATAGTGAAGAGTTAAAGAACTAAACTAACTAAAGAACTAACTAAAGAACTATAGTGGTCGATGAAGTTCTACGTCGGCGACAAAGCAAAACGGATCTATGCAATTTTGGAACACAAGAATGAATAAGCATCAGTGGAACATCAAGCTTATCTTCTCCTCCGTCCGGTTCCCCACAGGCCTGTGAACTCCACGGGCGCTCCGGACCTACCTTTGGCGGCGGTTTTCCTCCTCGGCTCTCACACTGCAGCTTGATGACCACCCCAGCGGTGGTGGAGAGGTCCTCTCCCTGGACTATGCGCGGGGCACTCGGCGGCACCAGCACATTGAGACGGGCGTTACGGGACCTGGGGACAGAGATGCGGCCAGTCAGAAGGGTGGGGAAATAGTTCATTGTCAGTCAGGCCGGCGAGCTTGGTACGGAGGCAGGTAGACGAGTGAGAGGGTAATCAGGTAAGTAACGCGTCAGCAAGCTTATCACTATGCATAGGTACAGCCCACCGCTAAAGCAATGTAGGGTTTTACCAATCTCAACGGTTGGCTTTGACTGGCGATTGTTTAATGCGGAGTGATCGAAAAGAAGATGTCAATAGCTAAAGTTGCAGCTGCAAGGGTGACGATACATATAGGCTGCATTCAAAGTTTCATTGTAGTCTGGCTAATCGTTCCTAAGCTTCAGAAGCAGAACATACCCATGACTGAAACCCCACATTACTTCTGCTGTGGACTGTATGTATGTACATGGTCAAACAATATAATGGATGTCTCGCGGCCATGTCTATGAGCCAGATGCAGAGGACAGAGATAAAAGAAAAACCTAACAGGACTGAAAAGCCTTGCAGTTGGAAGCATGAGACTAGAGTGAGACATTCAACAGGGGGATGAGGCTCAGACTTTCCGGTAACAGACTCCTATGGAGCCAGACGACGTTGGGAAACCTACAGACACAGCCGCCCGTCTGATGAACCGGTCTCTCAGGACTCTAGCGACGGATCATCAGGCTCGCCCGCAGACCAGCCGAGCGCCGCTGTCGACACATACATAAATTATCGACGCGTCGCCGGTCAAACGGCATCCGGCGGCGGTTGTGGATCGACGCAATCAGCGTAACAAGATTGCCCGCGGGCGCAGGCGGCGCTTGGCGGTCTTCAACAGTCTCTCGGAGCTTCGACACATAATGAGAGGGAATGGAACAGAAAGCACACATCAATCAGCTTAGCTGGAATCAGATTGAGTGGATACTAACTGAGGGTTTTACAAGTATATCGGTACACAGTCGTGAATTACAAATGCGAAAACAACCACAGCAATAATTGAGTGACGACTCTTTCGATGAAAGACAGATACTGATACACGATTAACACGGGTCTCCGAGTGTACCCACTCGGCCACATACAAATGTTAGTCTGTTTGGCGTCTCTGCCGGCCGCGCCGGCGTCGCTGGTCTCACGGTCACACAGTCAAGTTGGCCGCCACCGGCACGAATTTACATATGCGGGCCGAAATTGAGCAACTTGTGCCGTCCGCTGGTCCGCGTAACGGCCAGCCGAGCTCGGTCACTCTCTAGGCCCGGAGCGGCGCCAATAACACGGCTAGCTGGCCATGGCCGACCGCGAGAAATGAGGCCCCCACTGAGGAGACTCGCTCGAATCTCGCGGCGGCCGCGCGGCCATGGCACAGCGCTCCTGGCGAGTCGCGCGGAACGCCCAAAATGATGGCGTCATTTCTGCAGCTCTGTGTGCCGAAACGGGGCCCATCCGCGGCAGATGGGTGCCAGGGATTTGGTGAAGAGATCTCGTGATACGAGCGCTGAAAGATTTTGGTGGCAACGCAAAAAAAAAAACAAAGCTGCAATACAAATTCTCTTCAGAATATCGAGGATATTTTCAAGCATCGTTTTTCGTTATTAGCGTTTTTTTTTTCGTTACATGAGACCACGACTGGGCAGTTGGCTGCCTTCTAAAATGTCATCAGCCTGTTGGCCAGCACACTTCCTTTTCAATCACGTTTGCTCCACTCCTGCTGGGTAAGACTCGTAACTGAGCCAATTTCCCGATCTGTACTGGTTGTTCTAGCTTACAGCCAGCAGCGCCGCATCCCATCAGCGACTGTGAGCCCACTATTTGAACTGGGGATTTTACGATCGCCGAGTAATGGGAAACAAACCTTGTGTGTGGCTGGGCGGCGCAGGCCGAGCGACCTGGGCGTACCGGCCGGGTCAGGTATCCTCCTGGGAGCGGGCCGCCGGGCGCGGAGAGAAGTGCCAGAGGAAACAGACAGTCGTCCCGGTCAGGCGCGGATACAAGGGGGGGGGGGCCATGGGGGCCATGGCCCCCCCTTGGCCGATTTTTTTCAAAAATAAAATAAAAAGTTAAAAAGTTAAAAAGCTGAAAAGGGGGCCTCCTGAAAATAAAGTGGCCGAAATCCGATGAGTTTTTTTTTTAACCTACCCACTTAGTTATTTCTTAGAAGACTAGCTGAGAAGACTTCTTTGTTAGAAGATTGGTAAAGCTTTTCATAACTTGGAGGTCTCTTATACTCACAGAGATGACCACTTTTACAGGGCCTCCTAACCTGCACAGAGGGTCTCCAAGCCTGCACAGATGTTGAGATGTTGCCTGAACAGCTAGATAAGCTCAATAGACGCAGTTTTTTTGGGGGGTGGGGGCCCAACAAGTGGGAAGATGGGGCCTCCAACAGGTGGGATTATGGGGGGGGCCTCCTGGTTTCTAATGGCCCCTCCCTTGGACATTTTCTGGATCCGCCCCTGGTCCCGGTCCTACACGACGCCCGTCTCGCCGGGTAACTGCGCAGTGCGGCGGCGTGGGGAAAACAGGACAGAGGGGATAAGGTAGAGTCGAGCAATGGGAGAGGAGGTATGGTGAATAGGAGAACGAAAATGCAACAAAAACCTGTGCCAGTAGGTATAATGAATGACAACAATTAAAAGAGCATTCACAAATAAGTCCTAAACAGGATTTGGCAATAGGTAAATGAAAAACTCATGGTTTTACAAATAAGTAGTTACAATACGAAATGAGATAATTATAATTAACAATTACGAACAATCTGACATTGTCCAAATGTAACAAACATGATCTTCATTATATCACAGGAGTCAATATTCGAATTGTCAAGGTTAACCTTGTAAACCACCACCAGCTTCCACCATAACAATGCGACACCTCTATAGGAAGCCACTAGGGTTACCCGCGTGCTCCGCAACGCGAAGAAGGGCTCGGTTTTTGACCCGTGGGTATTGGATTGGTCTGTGTCGATTTGGTTGGTATCCATTTCGTTCGATTGCTTTTTGACGGCCAAGCATTTTGTAATAAAACAAAAAAGATACATCGCATCGAGGTGCCCGTGTCGTATTATCATGCGTTCTACTTTAGAATGATTCGAAAACTGGCGTGAAGTCTTTTGAGGGCCATCGATGAATTTCGCTAAAAATGACAATGTAATGGTTTGGAACATTTACATTTTTAAGGATACTGTTGCTAATCATGCAAAAATGAAGAGTGAATATTGGACAGAATTGAATGCTCTATCCAATGGTACCATATTCAATTGCCAAAGGTATCAGGTTATGCAGCAAACCCCGTGTGATTAATAAAGTGGCACAAAATTGACAAACACTATTTTCTCCTGTGATTTGCACCACCTTGATTTGGATCAATCAGCTTTTCAGAATTTTTATATGAGAGGCGGTACCTTTCTCTTGCAAATAGGCGTTGATTCAACTCGCTCCATTTAACGGTCACCTAAAAATAAAATTAATTCCAAAATCCCTCAAAAACCGCAATTTTTCAAATAAAAGTGCCCTCTCCGGTGCACGTGGCGCGTGCTATCCTCTGCATTGCACACCATTCAATAGCCCGTTCAATTCTGTACACGATGCTGTTTTCCCCGTGCCGGTCGGACCCCTGGTCACCAAGATATTGCACGGGAACTGGACCCGTGTCGGCCGAAATTAGCCGTTTTCGCCCGATTTCGCACGCCGATTTATACATGTAAAGTCTATGACGCGAATTTGCACTTTTTGAGCACGCGCCACGCGCTCCCTATCAATCCGATCGAGCTGAGACCCCTCAAAGGCAAGTCGTGCATCCTTGATCTATAAGTTGTGCAAATTTCACCGGGCTAGGTGCAACGGTCTGGCCTGTAGTCCACGCAAAGCACGACCAAGTCGGGACCTCGGTAACGGACAGACGCACCCTCCTCAAATAGTAATATAGATTCGTGAGACATTTAGCTCCGCTCTCAACAAGTTCCTTTCACCGGCGCCACAATGTGCGCCGCACTCTCTGGGTGTGAGCCTTACAACCCTTTACCCTCAACTTGGGCCATTCTCCCGGCCGAAACTTCTCAGCCCTTCACTCTGCAGAATCAATTCACTGCCGCGCCGACTGGAAGGCTGTCGCTACCAAAGGCACGCTTTCAGGAGCAGCAGAACGATGGATGACATCCGGCTGAGAGGGTGCGTCGTAACTGGGATCATGGTACCGGCACGATTGCAGCCACAATGATTTGCCCGCCTGTCGTTGCAGGAATTTTGCTGGCCATGAACGATACTCGGGCGCGTGACTGACTGGTGAGCCGTCGGTGGCAGCGTGTGTGCTGAGATAACAGACACCGGTGCCGCCTTCAGGTTCAAGGAACTCACAGCGCTCCAGTCAACTGGAAGTCATGTATTTCCAATAAGTTTTATGCACGCAATGTTCGCATGATTGAACATCGTAATTGTGTTGAATGAGTTATCCAAGTTGTAACACAGAGACTGGATACAGGTAATGGATGCATATGTTAACCCGCGCACCGACGGGGGTCTGCGCCAACTTCGCACCGACGGGGGGGGGGCGGATGACCGCCCCCCCCTGAGATCTCGAGAACGAAGCAAGATAGCGACAAGCGGTAAACGGCATCGGATACGCACGGCCAAGATCTACAATTTTTACTAAGGTCATTTTCAGGTCAGGTCAAAGATGACGTCACAGGGGTCGAAAAAGTCAAAATGGCGGCGCTAGATATGGAGAGAGTTTTACTCGAATAACTTTCGAATTATTCAAGATAGGAACAAACTAAGGGCATCATCGTGATCCTCTCGTCAATCCGCATCGAATGATATATATGTTGACCTCGAAAGGTCAAGGTCAAAGGTTGACCTCAGGTCACGTGACCTTGAGGTCATCATGTATATCATTCGATGCGTCTTGACGAGCTGAACACAATGAGACCATCCACGCGTCTGTATCTTGTTCCTGTACGGAGTTATTGGCCAAAGACCTTTGGTGACCTTTGATGACGTCACATGACCTCACAGCTGCCCAACAGCAAAACAGACCTCAAGGTAGTGAAGGTTGATCGTATATGAAGTCATGTAAAGTATATGGGGCCATTCCGACCCGTTTTAGTGGTAAAAACAGGGAGTTGATTTTTCCCCCATTGACTTATAATGGGGAGGTCGCGAAATTGACCTGACCTTAGGTCACCGATATCAAAATTCCGAGATATACAAATTGTAGCTACTAATGACCTAATAATATCCTGCGACTTTCAAAGGCCTCCGACATCTACTGTAGCTGTGGCACGGTGACAAAGTTGCAAAAAAGTGACTTGAGGTTGGGTCATTCAAAGTGACCTGGTGACCTGACCTTTAAAGGTAGGAAGTTCAAACTTGCACACCATGTGTAAAATTGATGAGGTTATAGTCATACCAAATTTCGCGGCGCTACGCGCCGCGGTTTTCCCGCTATTCGCGAAAAACCTCAGGGGGGCGGATATCCGCCCCCCCCCCCGTCGGTGTGAGGGTTAAAACAAGTTTGCAAGAGTGCCCCATGCGAATGTGAGAACAGATGCAATCATTTTCTGTTTCACTCTGCTGCTGCAAGACTCTTTTGAATAAAATTATATCATCGCTATTGTTTTCAAGAAAAACACCGTCCCTCACCTGATACCGGGCGATCCGGCGGCGGCGCCCACTTGGCACTGAAACACGGCGTCATCCTCGAGCGCCACTCGCTGCACTTCCAGCGAGTAGACCCCGTCTCGATCGGTGCCGATCATCTTGTAGCGCGGCCAGGAGGGAAGATCTCGGTCGACCCCGAGACCGAACTCGTCCCGAGTCCACTGGACCGCTCCCGCAGCTCCGTCCACCTGAGAGAGCCGAGCAGAGCCCGCGCGGAGGGCCGGCGTCAGATTTATCCTGTGGAGGTAGGCTGTGCCGCAGCACCTCCGTGTACGGCGGCACAGCATGTCGTTCGGCCGCCAGGAGTCGGCCGTCGGACAGTGCGCGAACGAATCGAATCGAAATTGAATCGAAATCGAAATCGAAATGGGAACGAATCAAACACTTTCAGATATCGACTGATCAGAATCGACTGATTTTGCTCCTTATGGAACATTTTGAAACCATGACCACGTTTCCATGGGCATCACTGATCCGGATCAGTAAAAATGGATTAGCTAATCCAGTATATTTAGACACTAAATGAAAATGAAAATAAGGGATTCAATGGTTATATAAGCCTAATCCACTTTGAATTATATCATGTAGCGAGTAGTTCGAGAAATATAATACGATTTAAGTTTGCTGATCCGGATCAGTGATGCCCATGGAAACGGGGTCCATATGAAAAGGTCATTATTCGTTTCCCGCAATGCATTAACCCTATTAGTGGCAGGCTCCTGGCTACACCACCTCATATCGCACCTCATAACGGTGCGACACATGTTTCGCGCAACAGTACTGTTGCACACATACCTTGCATGGCAGCACCACGGTCTGTCCCGTCTCAACACTCTGGTCCTCCGGTTCTGTGGAGAACGTTTGTACTGCTGATGTCATTGCCACAGTCAGTGACAGCCAGCTGACGATCGCCAGCCACCGGCCCTCCATCTGAAACACACAACAGCACCGGCATGTCAGAAATGCAGCATATATAACTAAGATTGTTTGTAGGGACGCCTCACACCTTTTAATATATAAAAAAGCTCAAAATGCAAAACACAGAGCGAGAAAAAGTGCACCTGGTTTTGAATGCTAAAAATTACGATTTTCGGACAAGCATGGGGGTGTGCCCAAGCGCTGAAGGTGTAAATACACACATATGATTCATGTTTTTCTGTTTGAATAAATCTAGACAGATATTGTTAAGCATTGCAAGAAAAAAAAAAGATTTACATATTGTCATATGTATTTCGATAACAACAAATGCCATTAAAAGACATATATAGCTTTGAACATTGCAATATCGAAGATTCTCAGGAAAAATGTTTGCCGTAAAAAGAAAAGACATCAAGAAAGACAACCAGCGAGCATTCAAACAACTTAAAAGACCCGAGATACTGAAAAGCAGCTCGGATGCGTTTCATAAGGCAGGATGAAAGAAACGTCTTCTAATGAACACTCGTTCCCTTCAAAATACTTAACTGCAGCGTAATTAAAACAGGTTTGGGTCGAGCGCGCTTCAGCTACACCTTTTTTCGTCCGAATTCACAAAGATGAAGTCCAAATTCACAAAGCTGAATTCCAAATTCACCAAGCTGAATTCCAAATTCACAAACCTAAATTACGAATTCAAAAGTCAAAAGTCCAAATTCACAAACAAAAAGTTGGAATTCAAAAAGATAAGATCGAATTTCAAAAAGCAAAAATGTGATTTCAAATAAGTAACAAGCAATTTCACAAACCAAAAATGCAATTTCAAAAAGATAATGCTGGATTTCAAACGTTGTTTCTTGTTGTTTTCTGATGATATGTTACCTAGCTCTTTTAACATATACCTACAATTTAAAATGACAAAATATTTTGTTTTTTTCGGATGTAAAAATAATGTTCCTATATCTTCAGAATTTGTCGGTTTTAGCTTATAGTGGATACCTAATAACGTGATAATGAGCAGAGTGGCCATCTGCAGGCACTGATCTCGTTGAAATAAATGCAAGGCAACGGACGGACAGTTTTATTTGCGACTTAGACAAAAACAACGCAAAGCTGCTTGTCTGACAACGCCGTAGGGCACGTTTGGAACTAAGCCACTACAAATCAGAAACATATCTTGAACCTCCATCACTCTCACACGCCCATCGCCAGGTCGGCCAGGGCCACGCACCCGGCATAGTGGCGCTGGACGTGATTGTAGAAGTTCATGCACATCACCGGGTTGATGCACTCCATGGCGGCGTCCATCTTGGCCTCCAGGTAGCGCAGCCGGTGCTCCTGCTGGGTGATGCCGTCAGTCGTGTCCATCATGGCGCTGAATGATGACGCCATGCCCCGCTTCATGTTCGCCTTCACTGCAGACCAGACAGCCTCAATCGGGTTCAACGGCGCGCTGTATGGCGCTGTCCGTACCAGCTCCAGACCAGGGAACTCGGCTGCAACTGCCTCCAGGTCACAGTGTACCGGCGCGTTGTCACAGACGATCGTCACCTGGTCGAGCGGCAGAGGGCAGGCCTGCAGGGCACGTCGCAGCCAGTCAGAGCAGTCCGTCTTCCGAAAGGACCCTCGTCGGCGCTCCCAGTAGATGATGCCGGTCTGCGACATCAGCCCGATGATATGGACGTTGGGGCCCTTACTGGTGGCGGCCTTCACCGAACATCGCAGGCCGCGGCGGGATCGGCCCTGAGAACGCCGCAAAAACAGATTCGCGTTCGTTTCATCCATGTAGAGCACCGATCTCCCACTCCCCGTCGCCGCCATCACCTTTCGCACGTACTCGGCCCTCTTCTGCTTATTTGCGGCGTTGTTCATGGCCACTGGCTCGGCCACGACCTTCTTCATAGTAAACAGCTGGCCGTGCAGGTGGCGGTGGATGGTCGGGACGGATATGGTGACACCGGTGTCCTGGCGCAAATTGCGACCGATCTCCACGAGAGATATCAATGGATTCTCCTCGACGTAAGTGACCATCTTGTCGACCATCCCCTGGGTAACTTTCTTCTTTGTGGCACCGCCACGGGGACGCGGCAGCTGTCCTTCGGGCCTCGTAATGTACCCGTAGGCAGTGCGGACCGGAATTCCATTCGCTGTCGCAGCCGCCTTCCAGTCTCCACCTTCATTGAACACGGCCACGACCCGCTCTTGGGCATCCCGGGGGATCCGCTTGTACGGCCCACGCCTGGTGCCCGGCGGAGGGCCGCGCCTGCCTCGCGGCTGTGGTGGGCCGTCACCGCCACCGGCAGGTCCAGCTTCGTCAGGAGCTCCGTCAGGAACTGGATTTTCAACCTCTGTCAATTCTACCTCAACTTGCATATCCCCATCATGGTTAAAAAAATGGTCAACCTCCGTTGAGGACTGAGACATACCTGGCTACAATAAAATAAATCACAGCAAGTTATTGACGTTAACAGAGCAAATGAGGTAAGCATCTGTGAGTTCAACGTTCAGAATGATTCATGTGGATTCATAAACAATTGTTGTAAAAAATCACGTGTTCCATGTGCTATTTTTGTTAAATGAGTTCCTCCAAATAGGAATATTACATAATATTAGCAGATGTATTCCTCATGCGGAAATTTATGTACCTTTTCTTATAAGCACCTCTTATAAAAATATAAAATTCAGGTGCAGCAGCTTTGTCTGTAGTTAGTTCAGAATATCTTTTGAAATCAAACATTATCTTTTTGAAATTGCATTTTTGTTTTGTGAAATTGCTTGTTACTTATTTGAAATCACATTTTTGCTTTTTGAAATTCGATCTTATCTTTTTGAATTCCAACTTTTTGTTTGTGAATTTGGACTTTCGACTTTTGAATTCGTAATTTAGGTTTGTGAATTTGGACTTCAGCTTTGTGAATTTGGAATTCAGCTTTGTGAATTTGGACTTCATCTTTGTGAATTCGGACGAAAAAAGGTGTAGACATCGTAATAAAAGTTAATAGGATATGTCAAGGGCACTTCAGTGTCCCAAATATAAAGTAAGTCGCGCTGTTTAATATCAGTGAACCACATTCATGCATCTTTACGTTACAATGCAAACTGCACAAGCGAAATACACTTTAGTTTATGTTTATAAGCAGCTCATATTAGTTCAATTAATTCTTATCTTTGAAATGATACACCTACAATAATTTTCAAATCAGTAACTTTTGTACAGTGCAACCATAATGTGGTTCCAGCAGTATCGACTCAGGGTATATTGAATTAGGCATCGAGTCGACTTGCATAATATTTCTCATGCGTTATTTCTATACTTCAGACTTCGATGGAGCTCGTTGGTATGCAAAAAGTATAACCGATGTTCAATTTGTCCAGTACGTGTATCCTAAACTTAAAGGCCGTCATATGAAAGTGCATTTCTAGGAATGATGAAAATGAGCGACATCCACACATCATCAATGCATGCTACGTGACATCACGTTCTGTGTTTCACTATCGTGTCATAGTCTCAAACAAATCATACGACGACCCTGTGACTACGCCCAAACAATCGATAACTTGTTGGCTTGTTTTCTGACCCAATTTCTCGTCACGCTGTTCGCATTGACAGGGGTCTCGACTCAGTGGTCCTACAAAGGCGTTGTTTTCGTGTCTGTCTCCACCACACGACAGCTAATCATATCGAAATCCAAGGAGGAACCCCTAAACAACCCCGAAGCCCGACTCGTCGATAGTTCCTAACACCTCGATCGACGGCTTAATAACCGAGACTGCCGCCCAAAAATGCATACCGCTTCTGTTGTGCCCGCGCCGGAATTAGCTGTCGCGACTAAGCCATCCGGTGATCGCTTCATTCATCTTCGCACCTTTGTTCCGACGCGGCTAATTACAGGACTGCGAGGAGCCGGGCCACGCACGGTCGTCGGACGAGTCGTGGTGTAAACACAGGGTCTACGGGCACAGGGGAGGAGACCGGGGCGGGCGGGGAAGGTGTATGGACATTGGACAGGGATGGGGATAAGGTGATGCTGGAGCGGGGGGAGGGGACGGGGAAAGGAACGGGGGACGAGGAAAGGGCAGAGACGGAGGATAATGAGCAGGCCAAGGGGACGGGGTCAGGGGAAGTAAGACGAAACAATGGGAAAAAGGACGTGGATAGGATCGTAGACGAATACTAGGGTAAAAAGATAGGAACAGGGACGAAGTATTGGAACTGCGATAGAGATAACGCCATAGGTCATCGCCGTAGGCTCCCACACTGCACTCAGTGGTGTGAACCCAGAGACATTATGGAGAACACAGCCCCTTTCAGCGCGACGAGAATGACTTATTTCATCCTGTCACAGTTGTTTTAGTCCCGGCTCGAATCCTCCCACAAGGCCGGCTGCGTCATCAGCACGGTATTCATGACGGCGGCCGAATACGGCGGCCGGGCGAACTGCGCCTCTGTTGCCAGCGCCGCGGCTCGTGGCAACATCGCCGGGCTGAGGATAACAGAGGACTCACCCCTGGCAGCCGGCCAGTAAAGCCGACCATAACATATCACATTTTATTTATGTCTCTATTCTGCCCCATGTACCGCTTTAGTTACACACCCACAGACACCTAAATATTATTCTGAGCGTAATGACGACCCCTTCCACTGAGCACGGCGCACGCATCGTCACAGCCTGTAAAAAGTGACGCGCCGCCTCACATACACACAAACATTTACCAGAGCCCTGCGGCGGCCACCCCTCTGCGGCGGAGCGGCGCCCCTCTGGCTCATTACAGGCAGACGCCGCTCTTCAGAGCTGGTCACTCCTCGCCAGCACACGTCCATCAGGGCCAGCCGCCGACAAAGAGAGTCTGAGAGCTGTGACGGGCGGCGGCGGGGCTGGCGGGAACAACCGTGTCGGGTCACGCGCCGCCATGCCGAGGGTAGACCAGACGGATCTAAAAAACCAGCCAGACGCAGACCACGACCAAGCAGTCGCTGCGCCGGCGGCGTTGTACTACGGAGACCAGGCTTCTCT